TTTGATCCTAGATTGCCATATTCAATGTTTACTACAAAGCAGGCATATAGAACATTTTTTTCTCTAGTTATTATCATAATCCCTCAGACATAATGAACAGCCTGTCTAGTGCCCAGAGAGGCTGTGGAGTCTCCTTCTCTAGAGATCTTCCAGACCCACCTGGAGGTAACCCCGTGCACCGGTGCTGTAGGTATCCCTGCTTGAGCAGGACGGGTTGGACTAGATGCTCTCTTAGAGGTCCCTTCCAACCTCAACCATTCAGTGACTCCGTGTAATTGCTACAGAAATTACTGAGAAAAGCCTGGGTCAGGCTGTATAAGAGACCACTGTGTATTTTACCCTGGTATGTTAATTAGGCCATCTGACAGTGAAGAAGCACAGCGGTACCTGGGAGCTCAGAAGGTAGAAAACATAACAATTTACCTGTAAGATCATGCTGCTGCCTTGATGAAACACAAACTGCTAGCATTTATCCATTCTATTGCAATCTGGGGTGGAGAAAAGGAGTGCCTGGTTGATTGTAAATATAACTCCCAGCCACTTCCTATCAACAAATGCTCCTGAATTCTGGTACATCCACTTAACAAGCAGGCTCCTAAGTCAGAATAGGCGTAACAAATTTTGCAACAAATTTTCTCTTAGGAAATTGAATACTATGTAAGCCTGTTTACATATGGCTGAAAGAAGTTTAAGGATCAGTGAAGTAAAGGGTTCATATTGGTAGCTAATTTATCAGTGACAAATTAGAAGGAACATATGGCACAGAGCAAAACACCAGAGAGTTGACCAGATCTAAAGCATCCTAAGGAGGTTGTCACACTTTTTTCTTATGTTTTATTTTAATAAGGCACTTTCTCTCTTTTGCTTGACAACATAATTAAACAGAAAGTATATATTTCTCTACTTTAGCATATAATCATTAGATATTTTAATAATCATTACATATTTTATTAATATATCTCGGCGAGAAGCTACAGACACAAACTTCACACAGAAAAATCTCAAGGGCAATAACAGAGCTGGATCTTATCCCTATTTAGAAGTAGAGTCAAGAAAGTCACACTCTTGGATCTAATAATATGCATCCTGACAGATCAGACAATATACATGTGAATGCTTGTCTGCAATCAGACAGAATTTCTCGTTGCATGGAGGATTTAAACTTGAGTCTCACAGATTGCAGACCTACTACGCTGGCCCCCAGAAGCCTTCAGTTTTCATTCAACTTAAGGTGACTGAAACCAAATGCATGGGCAGATTTACTACTCTGACAAGTTTTATAGTCAATTCATTTTTCTTTGGCTCATAAAGCACTCTGGAGGAAGATGGCTAGACAGAGAAACAACTTTGTTCCTCTACATCAAGAAAACGTTATAGTAAAGCAATACAAATGTAGCCAACAGTTCCAAGGACCTTGAAAACACAAACTCAAACTATGGTTTCACGTGTTTCTTGCTCAGAGAAATCCAGTAGAAATTCCCAAATGTAAGAGTGGACTGCTCAAGTCTCTGGAAAGGTCACGTGTCAAATAAAAGAAGGTTTATGCTCTACAATGGACCGGTCAAGCCTAAGGTATTTTAAACAAGCTGCCTGTTGCTACAGCAGCAGTATTTCTTGTTGTAAAGGAAGTATACTTTATTATTTTCCCATCCACTGTAGTGAATGAGCACAAGAGAATCACAGAATCACAGAATATTCAAGGTTGGAAGGGACCTCTACAGGTCATCTAGTCCAACCTTCCTGCTCAAGCAGGCACACCTACAGCATGTGGCACAGGGCAGCATCAAGGGGGGTTTTGAAGACCTCCAGAGAAGGAGACTCCACAACCTCCCTGGGCAGCCTGGCTGTTCCACTGCTCTGTCACCCTAACAGTAAAGAAGTTCCTCCTCACCTGCAGACAGAACTTCCTGTGCTCCAGCTTGTGGCCATTACCCCTCGTCCTGTCTCTGGCCACCAGTGAGAACAGCTTGTCCCCTTCCTCCCTGCATTCTCCCTTCCTGAACTTATACACATTAATCAGATCCCCTCTCAGCCTTCTCTTCTCCAGAGAAAACAGGCCCAGCTCGCTCAGCCTCTCGTCATACGAGAGATGTTCCATTCCCTTAATCATCCTAGTTGCTCTTCTCTGCACCCTCTCCAGAAGCTCCACGTCCCTCCTATACCGGGGTGCCCAGAACTGCACACAGTACTCCAGGTGCGGCCTCACCAGAGCTGAGCAGAGGGGCAGGATCCCCTTCCTTGACCTGCTGGCAACACTCCTCCTGATGCAGCCAGGATCCCATTGGCCTTCTTGGCCACGAGGGCACACTGCTGCCTCATGGTTAACTTAGTGTCAACCAGGACTCCCAGGTCCCTCTCCGTGGAGCTGCTTTCTAGCAGGTCAACCCCTAATCTGTCCTGGTGCCTGGGGTTATTCCTCCCCAGGTGCAGGACCCTGCACTGGTCCTTATTGAACCTCATGAGGTTCCTCTCTGCCCAACTCACCAGCCTGTCCAGGAAATTACTGGAACTCTTTCTGCAAGAACTCTTTCTGCAAGAAGAGACAGCAGTACAATCTTACTGTGAAGGCTGTTAAATTCTGCCATCCTCTTTAACCAGCTCTCCCATCACTGAAAACCTGATATAGTTGACACTTATCTAAGAAATATCAGTAATATGATAACTAAAATATGCCATAGATACAGTCATGCTATTCTGAAAAAATAAATAATTGAAAAAATAACATTTCTAAAAGTGGCAATAAGAAGGACATTTCAACCTAACCTAATACCTAGGCCTCTTTTAAACTGCAATCAATATTGCAGTTATGAATCTATGATGAATCATAACAAGGACAAAACCCTTTCAAGCAAAATTATCCTCTCCATACAAATGACTAAGACATGATAAACCATGCTGATTAACAAGTTCTCCAAATATGGCCACCTAATGCAGTTGTAGGCCCTGGACCCTTTCATTCAAAGCTGTTAGATCAGCATCTTTATTAGAGCAAGTGACAGAAATCAAAAGGAAATAAGAATTGATTTTATAACGGTCAAGCAGCAGTAACTCTCCTTTGCTGACTAACCAGATTTAATGCAAGGTAAGAGCAAAGAAAAAAACCATAATTATTTTCAAGAGGCATATTCTATGTACTTGACCTATTTTTCAAAATATCAAACGAGCTCCACAAAAATACATAAAGAAATGCAACAGACTCCTAAATAAAGATCTAGCAAATCACTGAGAAAGCAATGTTTGGAGGAAGGAAGATGCGCATTGAACATCATGAAGGAATGGGAAGAGAAAATGAGAAACTAAATGACGATGAACAAAGAAAGCATATCCAACCAATACATAGGGATATCCTCAGATATACAGAGTCATGTGCATAATCATGACCTAAATGGCAAAATACTCAAATGCTTGAGATCCAATCTGCTTGTTTTCATTCTGGCTGAAAAGTGCCTCCTTACATGTCTGAGTGCAGTGGAAAATAAACGATAGATGACCCAAGTCTGAGCCAATTCTGGGGGAGTATCCAAAGACCACCAGACTAAAAATACCGCATCTCAAACCAACTCAACATTTGAACTCGGAAAAAAACTGACTCCGAGAGTTTACTAGGGCAGAAAAGTTCTTGATATTGTGCTGTGTGCAATATATGGTATAGTATTGATCATGTTTTCACATTCACAGTAGCTAAGTTCAAGGAGTACATCCCAGTAACTAACATAGTACTTAATGCCATTAGAGTTAACAGGCTGACTCTTCAGCAGTGGGTGTAGGGCTACTATGAGGGTAAAATCCTTACCGAGCTCTCAGGAAACTCTGGTGCAAAATCAAGCCTGACAGACTTGGAGGGACTTAGTGCCCTTGACACAAGCTCAGCACTTTGATTGCTACAAAGGAGATGGAGTAACAAAAATCTATTCTTTACCTCTTACAACAGTTCATACAATAAAAACGACTAATTGCAGGTGATCTTAATACAGACTGGGTAGAGCTTAGAGAGTGTGGGCAGTGAAGAAGGAGAAGCAGCAATACTTGATGAAAATTTAATTAATTTCTTTTAAGATAAGCAATAGATTCATACTCTGCCACAGTGTATTCTATTTTCAAATATAAGGCATTTATGTAAGAGAAAATTCATGAGTCTCAGGATGATTCCAAAGAATTACAAAGATAAGAAATAGAGAATTTCTCCCAGTTCCTTTTAGGGTTCTTGTACAACTTCTGAACTTGTGGTAGACACATGATCCTCCCCGAAACCAAGAGAGACAAGAAGCAAACACCTTGAAAAGAATGAAACCAATGAAATATGGCTGAGTCCAGTATTTTAGGTAGAAGACTACAGAGGATCACCAAAAAAAGGATCAAAATTAACAAAATCGAAGACATGGGCAACAGATCAACCAAAAGACAGCTAGCTGTTGAAACATGAGAAAAACTTTCAGGTTCCATCCTTATTAAAGTATAAGGAGTAAAGAGAAATAAGGCCACAAAAATACTACTAAACCAAAGTAGTCAGTGATCACAAGTGTTTGGGTATATGCACCCTTTTAAAATAGGCATGCATTTGGATAAGCGCTCTGATTACTTCTCAAGATCCTTTAGGCATTTCAAAAGTAGGATAAATTTGACGTGTTATTTTTCATTTTGTCAATAAGAAAATGAGAATATTTTCTATGACTTTTGTGAAGCAAATCCACAGCCTTACAGGACAAGTGACAAAACTATTATTTCTACTCTTGTAGATAAATTGAGTTATTGTTGGCACCCTGGGCGCCCAGAGTCTTAATATTTCAGACTGAAGATGTATTCCTCTGAAAACACCTTGAGAAAAGAAGTTTTTCAATGATCTTTTTGAGGGTTTCCAATTAGCATAAAGCTGCACAGAAACAAGCTTGTAAAATTAGTTTGCAATCTGCAGAGAAAACACGATTCTAAAAAAGACTGCACATGCAACCTTTATCTGCTACACAAAATGAAAACTCACTGATACTTTCCAGTTTCCTTACCTCCTGTCCTGAAAGGTAATATGCTGCCAGAAGGCCACCAATGAAGCGAATATTGACCTCAAAAACAGACACTTCAGAATTCTATAAGGGGGGAAATAAATATATAATAAAATTAATAAATTTAAAAGTAAATAGTAAATAAATAAATAATAAAATTTTAAAATTTTAAAATAAATAGAAAATATTTAGCAAGCTCCCTAGTCCAATAACAACAACAAAAAAATCGGTTAAGTAAATACCCAAAGCAAATAAGCATGCAGGGGTTTGCCCCATGCCATGATCTAGACACATACTAGTATTCCGGTGTACATCTTCATGACAGCTAGGAGAACCTCTAGGCAAGCAAGTAGAAGTGATCATATTAGATTTTCTCCTGTCTCCAATTATGTTACCAGTACAAACTGCCAGTCCTCTGAGGTATGGACAAAGACTCTACATCCATAATTCAGCACATCTTATTTTTTCTTATATTTAAGCATTCCTGTGATTTTTCTGGGTTTAAACGTAGAGTAGAAGGATAATTAGACAATTCCTGTGATGTGCTGTCTTCCCCTGATTTACTCATGTATCATCTAAAATTTAGCTCCATTTTACTTCTTTCTTTTTAAAGAAAGAAAAGCCTTCATATATTTAATATTATGACAATATGTACCACAAACCACTGAGAAACTCAAAAGCTTAAGAAGTATTACTGCCTCCTTTCACTTTTAACATATTTGGGCTAAATTCACTACGGCATTTTTTTTAACCTGTTTTGAAATATTAGCAGAAGATATGTAGTTTTATCATGTGTCCTGCTGGCCTCCACTCATTCCTTTGCCGTTGTATAGCCCGTGTATCTCCCATAAACTTACAATTATTCAATCCAATGACTGTGTATATTTTAAAATGTCTATTTTAAAAAAGACTTGAGATAAGACATGCTTTCCTTCTACCCAGAAAAGAGGCTAGCAGTTGCACTGTACAAGTTGTTCTAGCAGTTAATATGTAGCTAATATGATACTTACCAGTATTTTCCCTTCAACACTATATTTTCTGTGGCACTTGAGGTAGTATCAGGCATTTTGTACATATCCCAGAACAATGTACTACTTAGATTGGATGAACATTTTAAATGTTAAATACTCTTTATGCTTAGAAGTCTAAAGTTTGAAATATCTAAAAAACATGATTTTAGTGAAAAATGCATATGGAAAATAACAATGCAAAGTGTGATTCCATTTAATATCTATTACGGGCATAAATAACAAGAAAAAACACACAGCAAAACCAGTGACTTCTATTTCACAGTAAAAAATCATCCAAAAGGAACAGAAACTTCAAGGACAATTTGTAAGAAGAGTTTGTTTCTACTTTGAACAATACAAGGTTCATATTAATAAGGGAACTCAATAATTTTCAGGAATATTTTTTTAGGCACAGGAAGCTACAATTTAAGCCCAGTGGGCCATGTAATTTTTTTCCAACATGTACAGGATTGAGCCTATTAATTTATATTGAGAGTGCTTTAGTTCAAAATATAACTAGGAAGCAATTTAGTCCACATTCACAATTTTACCATCATGCCTATGCTGTTTCTGACATGGGCAGAGTTTTCCATTGTAGGCGGTATAATTCTCAGGCGGTTATCAAGGGGAAGCAATGGGGAAGCAGATAGGACAATTTTTTTAGTGTTTGTCACATAGGCTATATATGAAACAAGAGAAATCCTCTTTGAAATGTAGCATTTAAAATAAGGAAAAAAATAGCATCTGTTCAACCCCAGCCTGAAGTTTCATGTTGTGCATTAGTGCAAAAATCTTTTTGGAGTCATAGGGCAAGGCCAAGGATTGAAATACAAATTTTGTCACACAATTTATGAAATACTCCCCACATTAGAACCAAAAGCCCTCATAAGCACAAAATAGAGCCTTTTTTCCCATTTAACACTAATGAACTCTGTAGATAAGAAAAAACGCCCAAATATCAGTCACCATATAACCATTCTTCTAATTGATTTTGAAGCCACAGACAAAGGACACTCAACTGGCATTCTGCATTATTGTTAAAGCATCTCAGTAACACAGTGGAAGAAAACACCTAGCTTGCAATGTTAAGTAATTTATATATCATGGTGGGAAAAAAAAAGAGAAAAAATGCTGCTAGCTATCAGCTAATAAAGTCTGATCTTTTTATTAGACTTTGCCTTCATTTCTTCTGCAGAGGCACTGTTGTTTCTCAAGGAACATTCTCCTATTCTTCCATTAACGAATAATACAAACATATCTTAATTAAAAGAGGTCTTTTTCAAAGTATGGAAAGTTCTAAACACAGAGAACTTCTGTAAACTGCAGTTCACTGAAAGAACTTCAGACATGTTGAATCCATCTAAAAGCCTTCTTCCAGGTCTCCTAAGGAGGAACATAGGGAACAGGGCTAGAGAAGTATTCGGACATGTTCTACTCACCACGCTGAAATCAAGATTTTTGTCAATCCATTCTTGTCCTTCTCTGAATTCATCATGAAGCCCCATGATATACAGAGTATCTAATGCATCTACTATGGTAGCACCCATCTGTGAATTTCCTGAAAGGGATGGAAGGGAGTAGGGAGAGAAAAAAGATTTCTATTAGAAGTGACTATTTCATTATTTTTCTTAAACATAAAAAGCAAGAGAAAATAATCCAAGAAGCAACAAAGCAAAGTTGCTACAGAGATAAACAGTACAAGCAAAAGCCAAAACGAGCAAGGAATTAGAAACTCTGTAAGAGGATCTCACTTCCCTTTAAAGCTTCAAATGCTGCTACCATCTGGATTCTGGGGAGAGAAAGAGACTAAAGATGGAAAAGTCATTGTCAGAGGCTCACCTACCCTCAACGTAAGCACCTCCACTATAGGGAGAAAAAAAACAGACATCTTGAAACATCCTCGTTTCAAGAGGCTATTTAGTATTCAAGAACAAAAAAGTGTAATATACACAAGATAAAACAATCAATATTTGCAGCAATGCCTAGCATCTCCCACATTTACTATAGGAGCAAATGAGCAGGGATGTCCTGGCTTGGCCTCATTAACAAACTCACAGTCCAAAATGAAAAGGTGCTCATAAATTCCTATCATGATATGAAGTGTAGCATGTTAAGCCAAATAAAAACAATGATGCACGACCATAAAACACCATTCACTTGAAACGGCAGCAATTTAGCCAGCTGGTGAGTACCTCACTGGTTTGTACAAGAGAGATCGTCTTGCTACTTAAGTTCCTTCTATTCATTCAAATGCAAGTTTTACATGTTTAGAAGTTTGTTGTTGTTGTTTTTCCACCACAAGAATAATAACTGAATTATTTTACCACCCCAACTGTTATTGCCTTAAGTCCTTAAATTACTGATACTTACATGGAAGCTTAATTCCATTTTCAGGGATTAATTTCCTGAATAATAACAATTAGACACAACAGGTTTTGTAACAAATGAATCAATTTCCTCAAAAAGAGGTATGCTTTTGTTCTTAATGGATTTGAATTGGATATGAAAAGCCATAAATCCATTTTGTTCAAAAGTATATATCAGGGCATGATATACTTGTTATGATTAAACAGAATATATATTTGTTAGCAAACTGGCTACCAGGCGTATTTATAATTCTCAGGAGACGGATTCATTGCTCTGCAAAAGTACTGCAAGGTTTGGAAGTACCTACTAAAACTTAGCTAAAAGTACACAATCCCATCATTTGCACAAAAGCAGAGCACAGCTTGAAGTAGAATTAAAATAGCCACCTACTTCCTACCTTTTCATATCTATGATATGTCAATAATTTGCCACTTAAAAAATATGTAAACCAGACCATACCACAAGGTATTTGGATCAGTAAATAGAGAGCTTTGGGGATTCTGAGAACCGTAGCAGTTGTCCTGTCTCTTAACAGTTTCAAAAATAAGAACATTTAAGCTTAAGCACAGCCAAAACCACAAAGCTCTTATATTCTGTAATATGCAGAGAGAGAGAGAAAAGGAATTGTACAGGGACAGGTTCATTTCCCTTTCATGAAAAGAAAAAAGTTAAGTCACTGCTGTGCTAGCAGACATGCTTTCCTAGATCAGAGAAGCCAACATTCAAGCACCCACCAATGAGTTCTGCAATATACTGGGCACAGGAATAGCTATTTTCCAGCTCTGCAGGTATCACTTGAAAAATAAAAAAATATGCCGTGTTTTTATGGCACTCTTTCCAAAGAAACATGAAAAAAGGGATACAAAAACACAAATGCTAATTATGATTTATTTTATCATGACTTCAATAGACATAACACAATCAGAAACTGAGACACATTAAGAGTCATAGCACCTCAGATTTTGATATCGCCACAGATTTTGATATCTCCAAAACACTATGGTTTCCTCATTATCCCAGGGTGATTAAAAGATATACGTCCAAGAATAAACAGTAGAGTTGGATATAGAACAAGTCAGAGGATGACAGACAACATTGGCTGCTCCATGTTTCAGGGGAGGCACAACTGGGCATTACTTGCTCTCAGCTGCTTTCCTGGAGGATTCTTGCTGTCTGTGTGGGGGGGAAGTCATTCTTAATTTGTCCCTAAAGATGAAAAACATCTGCTGAAGTTTCTTCAGAGGTTCTTAACCTTACCAGAAGAGTCAATAAAGCTGCTACAGCTGCCTTCCTCCAGCTTAAAATGAACTGAACAGCCAGCAAGGCAACATGTGAAATGAAATATGAAACAGAAAGATATCTTACTTGTATAAAGTCACTGGCCTACACTAGCACTCAGTGCTACTGGGAAAACCATAGACAACAATGGACAGACAGTTAATACTTCTCCCTCCTGTCGTTGTAACTTTAGACTGAAGGGTTTGAATCAAAGAGAAATAATTTTCTGTTCATAAGAGTATGTGTTTTCATTTCATAGCCATGCTAAGATCCATAAATTTTGTCTTAAATAGGGTAGCAGTCTTCATGGACTTAAACCACTTATGGTGTCCTCTGAAAGGTAATAAACTAACTATAAACAATGACACAATAGCTAGCAAGAGTAAACACAGCTTACTACCACCTCAACCAATCTAAACTACTATTTCTCAGGACAGAGATATCTCCTTGATCTCTCAGATCTCTCACTGTATTTAAAAAAAAAAAAAAAAAAAAAAAAAAAGGCTATGCAACAATCACATTACAATAGAAAATAATCCTCTGGCTGAAAGCACTACCAGGGCTGCCTCTATCCAGCGCAATGGCTCAGCTGGGCATGTTGCAGAAGATAACCACCCATCCCAATGGAGCTCTCCTTTGCAAATGTCAGGCTAGGAAGTTTCTCCTCCACTAATTACAGTTCTAGCTGACAGAGTTCTAAACTTAATGAAGTTTGCCTAATGAGTGCAATACTCCTTTTTCCAAATAAAACAGAATATTTATCATGAGCTAATGGAAGAAATTTAAGAGTGAAATAGCTACACTAGCAACAAAATTATGCATTTCCTTGCTAAGCAAGATTATTTATTCCAAGACACTGCAAAATACTAGGTACTAGATTGATATCTAGGCAGACTTCAGTTTCCCCAAAACAGGCAAATAATTTCTTCATTTGACAGCATTCTCTTTGCTGTCTGGATTATCTAGCTAATCTTATGACTATATGTTATCAGCAGAGTCCCTGAATGAAAAATGGTCTATCTACAATTCTTTGAATATATCAAAGTGCTACATGAAGAATTGACTTACAGCTTAAAAAAAAAAAATCCCAAGAGACTACTAAAGTGGGGAGGTGGAAAAAGGGGGTGTTAAAATCTTTGTCATGTTTTCCATGACACAAACGAGTATGAAAAGAAGAAAAAAACCCTTTCCATTGTAAAGTTAAGAATTCAGATTCACAAAGTATGATGCTAGCTACAGGATGGTTTATTGTATTTATTCTGTGAAAGTAGGGTGACTAAGCCTAAATACTAAAGAGATACTAAAGAAAACATGTGAAGTAACATAAACCAGCTAGGATCAGAAGAGACTGCAAAGACGAGGCACACAGAAATAAGGAACAAGTTGATAAATTAAACCGCATGTCAGTTAACTCTTGCACTCTGAGCTGAAGAGCAATCATTAAATAGGTACACTTCACAGACACTTCGATTATTTGAGTTGTTATCGATACAGACTCCTTCCCTTCAAAGGGTGTGTTCTATGCTCAAATCTCATTACTACTTCTGAATAACACTTCCTCCAGGGTCTCATTACCCTACCTGAGGGCTGAGCAGATCAGGCTCAGAAGAGAAGGCAAAACCAGAAATTACTAGGCCAATGGATTTCAGATAACTACAGCTCTAGAAAGCAATCATTTTATTTGCCTTTCGGCCTCTGTTTCTCTGTATTCTGTCACAAAACGAATCACTTGGAATCTCTTTGGAGACTGATAAACTCATTAACTTTACCCATCAGCTCCTTGCTCTTCCATACAGGTCTCCTGCCCCCCTTACTCAACTGCTTTCTTGTAGGAATGCACCAACCTCTAGCTTGGAGAAAGTGGTGTTTAAAAATTAGTCAGCTCTCCTGGACCCCCTTTCCTTTCAGGACCCTGACCGAGAGGACTGCTCCAAGGAGCTCCCTGAAGAGGTCAAAGTGAGCTCTCTTGAAGTCCAGGTTTGCAATCCTCCTTCTTGCACAGCTTCCTCCACGCAGGATTGTGAATTCCAGTATCTCGTGGTCACTGCAGCCAAGACTGCCCCTAACCCTCACATTTCCTACTAACCATCTCTATTTGTTATTATTAGATCTAGCAGCACCTCTCCCCTTGTTGGCTCATCAGCTATCTGCATCAAGAAGTTATCTGCAACGCTTTGCAGGAGCCTCCTGGACTATATGTTCCTAGCTGTGTGATTATCCCAGGGTGGTTGAAGTCCCCCATGAGCACCAGGATCTGTGGTCGTGAGGCTTTTTGCAGCTGCCTGTAGAAGGCCTCAACCAGTTCCCGGTCAGGAGGCCTGCAGTAAACTCCCACGACAATACCTTTTCCTAGAGAAGCTGGCAGCTTACATACATCTCACATACATTGTAAGCCTACATGGCTTACATGGCTTACATGCAAGCTTACACACATTACATACATTACATACATTACATGGCATACATACTCTTTGATGAGTCAAAACCAGGCTGGATGGCCAAGCCCAGGCAGTAGTGGTGAATGGAGTCCAACCTGCAGTGCCGCATGGGGTTGCTGTGACTGAAATGCAGGACATGGCACTTGACCTTGCTGAACCTCTTACTGTTGGCCTCAGCCCGTCACTCCAGCCTGTCCCGATCCCTCTGCAGAGCCTTCCTACACTCAAGCAGATTAACTCTTCCTCCCAATTTGGTGTTGTCTACAAACTTGCTGAGGGTGCACTCAACCCCCTTGTCCAGACCGATAAAGATATTAAAGAGGACCAGCCCAGGCACGGACCCCTGGGGAACACTGCTTGTGACTGGTCACCAGTCCATGTGCCCAAGATCCAGAGTTAAGAATTACTTTTCACACATTCAACTGTTTTAAGCCTTAACAACTAAGTGAAAACTCTGCCTGACAGTAAATTTGCC